GCTCCTGGGTGTGTCCGTCTCCACCATCAGACCACGGCTCCTCCGTCCAGAGCCACTGCGCTCACCAGAAGCTTAGGATGTGTGTTGGCAGTGCCATCCGTGTTGTCTAGGCAGAGTAGAGAGCCTCCTCTGTCACCTGTAGACCCCTCCTGAAGTGTGAGGCTGGGGGCAGGAGGTGACGCACACGGACTTCTGTGAAATGAAATACTTTTGACTTTCCCACAATGCCAAATATAATGCTTTATTACACAAATTGAACTGTGTGTGTAAAGTTATAACCTTCTATGACTGAAAAATGACAAAATACCAAATATGTTTGAAATTAATGAACCATGTCTGGGTGTTTTGTTGATAGGCTGGTGATGTTCAGATAAATAAGACTTATGACTCATTATTATTTATTTATTGCATACGATGTATCATTGGCTTTCAGTAAGATCCCTAATTGTCATAACCAATTTTCTTATCGTTTGTAGTGATCTAAAGGATTGCAAATAAAGTGCAATTTAAAAGTTCTTATGGCTTGTCTCTAGAAGTTCCACCAAAGCCTCACGTGGTCAGAGGTGGGACTTTGCTGAGGTGGCTGGATCTAGGATGTGTGATGCTAGGATCAAGGGTGCCCCACCATGGGGGTGTGAGTGCCATCCACTCACAAGGTGGAGAGCCTGGCTAAGACAGGAGGGATAGAAAGAAGGGGCTGGTCGATTCCAGCTTTGCTTTTTTGCTGCGTTACTGCTTCGCTGCCTTCTGCCCACCATGAACTATTTCTGCTTGGTGAGCTTCCTCTGCCACGCCACCCTGCCTTGGAGCCAGCCAGCCGGGGACTGAGCTCTACAAGCCGAGCTACAATAAATCTTTCCTTCTTTAACTTTGGATGTTGGGTATTTTGTCTCAGCAATGAGAAAAGTAACTAAGACAAACATATATAGAACTCGAAGGGTAGAGGTTTAGCTTAGTAGCAAAGCATTTCTTGACAGGCTCGGTCCTGGGTTCAATCCCTAGTACTGGGGGGGAAATAAATATGTGGTTCTGCTTCAAAGTCGATAGAGAGGGGCTGGGGAGATAGCTCAGTACAATAAGCGCTTGCCTGGTAAGCGCGAGGGCCTGAGTTCAATCCTCAGTTCCACCAAAAAAAAAAAAAAAAAAAAAAAAAGACAAAGTCGATAGAAATATGTATTTATCCAAAAAGTAGACTCAAATATAAACACAGAAGGATTTATTTTTTTCTTCAAAATTGTTTATTTTTTTATTTTTATTTTTTATTTTTTTTGTGGAACCGGGGATTGAACTCAGATCCTTGACGTTTACCAGTCAAGCGCTTATCCTACTGAGCCATCTCCCCGGCCCCTCAAAATTGTTTTTATTTTATAAAGCCATTTAAAGCAAACTATAGATTGTGTATGAGATGAAATACTCAGACCTTTGAAGGTTTTATAAAAATGAAACCTATTGTAGTGTTCAATGCCCATCTAGTTACCAGTTTAAAAAATTAGCGTGCCATTTTATGCTGCATTAGAGTAATGGGATTGCTAAATGCTGGAAGCTGCTCTTCAGCCACCATGTGCATTTTTGTGAATACCACACTAATTCATGAGTACTTTTAGAACCACAAAATGGAACAGCAAGAAATGCCAAAAGAGAAACAAACAACAAAAAAGATACTCAGCATTACTGGAAAACTGATACATGGTTATATAAGAAGCGATTGCATGTTGGTATCTGAGAGAAAGGGTTTGACAAGTTAATTTGTCTTTCCTCTAAAACATTTCTGCCACTCAGGGCCCGCTGCCTCCCCCTTCCCTCCACCTGTGCTGTCAGCTTCTCCCCGCTGCCCCCCGCCAGTGACCTTCCCGGCAAATGCACACAGCATCTTTTGGTCTTGAAGTTCAAGAAATAGAGAAGAGTTTGCATTGGCCTGAGTGGTGTTAGTCAGGGATGTGGTTTTGTAGGCCCACAGCTCACACGGATGTATGCGACAGGGATTCCTGCGTGTTCTCTAGGAAATCTGTGTTTGTGACTAGTGGGCTCAGCCTGGTGGCCTCTTCTCGCCTCCTAAGAGTGGCTCAGGGGTGGTCTTCTTGCCAATGAGGAGATCTTTGTCATACAAGCTACTATAGGTAATGGACACATATGATGCTGCAGGTAGAACTTCAATTAGGCTGCTCCATTCATTCATTTCATTCATCTGTGCATTTGTTTGTTCATGCGACAAATAGCCCCAGTTGTTCAGTTCATTGTGGAATGCCAGGTCACGGCAGACTTTTAGTGCAGCCCATGATCCTACAGATGAGGGAACTGAGGCTCGCAGGAGGACACTGATGTACTTAAGATTACACAGCCAGGCCACAGCAAAAGAGCCCACAAGCCAAGGTTCCCCAGCAGGGCATTCAAGCCAGCCAAGTTTGAGTTTGGGGTAAAACCTGAGCACGTATTGCTAGTCCTACTGGCTTCCTTTCCTCCACCAGCTTCTCCCACCTCCTGGGTCCTGGAGGGATTCTGTGTTGGGGGGAGGAGGAGTTCAGTTTAAAGAGCCACTTCCTGTTTGGGGCCAGCACTTCCTTCCCATGACTCAGTGGGGCTCAGAGAAGGACATTAATGTACTTAAGACTACACACAGCAAGACCACAGCGTCTACAGCCCCTTGCTGGAAAGCCAAGGTGGGGGTGGAGCCGGGCCCATTCATGTCCCCCTCTCTCTGGACCTCAGTCAGGCTCGAGGCAACAGTCTCCTCACGCAGCCAGGTGGGCAGGGGCTGGGGTAAGGCCAAGGCCCAGATGAGGGTGACCTCCCCTATCTGGGTTTGTTGTTGGGTTTGGTTTGGTGTTTTGTTTTTGAGGCAGGGTCACCCTATGTAGTCCAGACTGACCTTGAACTCATTATGTGTAGCCCAAACTGGCCTTGAACTCACAGCGATCCTCCTACCTCAGCCTCCCGAGTGCTGGGATTACAGGTGTGCACCACCATGCCTGGCCCACATCTGGTCTTGAGGGTAGCTGCTGGTCTAGTGGGGCTGGCAGCAGAGCTGAGGCCCCTGAGGGACAACCAATGGCACTTTCTCTTCCTTAGGGGACAGTAAAGTGTAGCACAAAGAGCGGTGGGCAGGAGTTGTGGACTTGGATTATTTATCTCTGTGTTGGGCCCGGAACATGGGGCCTTGAGCACACCAGGTAAGTACTGTGCCGCGGAGCCACAACCCAGGCCTGGACTTGGGTTTCTAACACCAACTTTCTGGTGACCGTGTCAGTCTCCTGCTCCTTTCTGGGCCTCAGAGTCTGTGACTGCCTCATGGCCTGCTGGCTCTGACATTTTGTACAAGTTGGTATGGCAGTTGGTATTACGTTAAAAGATTCAGCTTTGCCCTCTTTTTTTTTTTTTATTATTGTTTTATTGAGAAAATTGCAACGTGACAGCTTCAAAACAGGTTGGTAGGAGAGTTACAGCAATTAATACATTGCATATTGTTGTCTTTGTAGTAGTCATTCATAGCACAAGATGCAGACATGATATCCTGTCCAAACACTATTAGTACAGATCTTACTTCTTACTGAATTAGGAGAAAGTAGCTATATATCTAAGTCCAGCTTTGCCCGCTTGTTGGGTGTATGCACCTTTTACAGCTTCTGTTTTAGAATTTGAAATAATAATACAATACTTTGGTGGTTTGTTTTCTTTTCCTCACAGGGTTTGCAGGCAGATGAGCTGTATCATCTGACCCACCCAAAGTGCTAAATGTGTGAGCTAAATGAGTCTCCCATGTCGGTCTTAGGGTGGGTTTATTATCACGGATGTATGCGTAAGGAGAGGTTAAATGACTTGCCCAAGGTCACACTGTGTCAAGATTCTGACGTGGGCAGTTTGCCCTGCCAGCATTGTTCTTGCTGCTCAAACTGTGGCCCATGGACCTGCAACCTGGGCTTCACCTGGAACAAGCCAGAAATGCAGACTCTCCGGCCCTGCCTAGACCCATCAGGCAGTAGTTTAGCAAGTAGGAGAAGCCTGTCCATTTATGTTTTTATCACTTGGGCCTTGAGGTCACTATGGCAGATAGAAGAAGTAAGTGTGTTTTGTCAACTACAGAGGACAAGGCATCACGGGCACTGTGCACAACCAGGCACTGAGGAATGGAGGCAGTCCGTCTGCACTGCCTCAGCTCGGCTCTGTCTGCCAGGCCTGAGGCGTCTTGGCTGCTGCTTCCAACTGTTAGGAGGCTGTGGGTCCCAGCGAGCTGGGGAGATTTCTCATGCTAACATGGTTCTTGTGTTGGCACTAGGCTTACATTGTTGCTGCCCTGGGTCCCCCAGCTCTGGCTCTGCCTCTGCTTCTCTGAGTAGTGTGGTTATGCCCCTGGCCCTGCCAGCCTCAGTGTCCCCAAGAAGGCAAGGTGGCAGCATCCTATGAGGCCTGTGGTGCTGATGCAAGTGCCCTCTCTGCCGCCCTCTTGCCATGGCCTCAGAACTCTCCCTTCGCCTGGTTCCTGGGTCGAGGGCTGCCTGCTGGCTGCAGGAGCTGAGCACGAGTGAGGCGTGCATGAGTCAGAACTCAGGCTCAGAATTGCACTGCCCCAGATCTGCCTCCAGCCCACCAGCTCTCCCTCTCCTCTGAGGCTGCTTTGGAAGAACAGCTGGCCTGGTGACTACCTGGGGGGAGCTGATCCCCTGCAGCAGAATAGAGCCACTACTCCCCAGGCTCCTGGCTTTCGGGGCCCTTGAGCCCTGTAGTGAGGCACAAGGGGCTCAGGGAGCCATTTGTCTGGGTTGGAGGGAGGTGCGGCTGGTGTTTGGGCAGCATGTGTGGAAGTGGGATCCGTACCGTGGGTTTCGGGGTCTAGAGATCAGCCACCAGCTACACAGCTTCTCCAGGGCAGGGACCAGAGGCAGCCGTCACTGGGTCCCACATCAGCACAGGGTGGGCCCAGGGTTGAGGTAACGGCTGGGCATGGAGGGCAGAGGGCAGGTTGGGGGCTGACAGCTCTCATTGGGTTTGTCTCGCTCTTCCTTCAGCTCATCCAGTGAAGCATCGTCACTGCCCTTGTGGACGAGACACCCCACGGAGGACAGCCCAGACGCTGGTATCTTCTTCCAGGTAAGAACAAAGAAAGTCAGGAGGAAGAAAGGAGGTAGAAACAGACCACAGAGAGCAGCCCGCTGGTTTCTAGAACAATGTCTGCCTCTTTTGTGGAGGAAGCACCCCACTGTTCATTAAAAAGGAGGCAGGAGGAACAGGGATTCTTGTCCCATTTTATGGAGCTGCAGAACCTAAGCTCTCAGTGGTGCTGTCTCTGGCCTTGTCCTGAGGGCTTTGTCTAAGGGCCTGCATGCGACAGCTCATTTAATCTTTACAACAACATGTGAGGTAGGTAGCATTCCAGTGTTATAAATGAGGAGACTGAAGTATAGAGACATCAAGGAGTTGCTTACTAAGTGGCAAAACTGGGATTAAATCCCAGCAGCTTAGACTGTTCAAAGCCCTGTGCTTCACCGGCTGTTTAGCGCCAAATACTGTTTTCTTGACCTCTAATTTGGGGCTTAAAAGGGTCCTCAACCCCAGGGAAGAAGAGTATTTAGGAGGGAATCCCGGAGAAAGTGCTACTTCTGCTAATGGGGTGGACACAAGTGGCGGAATTGGGGGGCCTGAGGCACGGGATGGGCGCAGCCTCCAGGGCGGACGGGCTTCCTCTCAGCACTAGAGCACGTCTGATTTTTTGACCACCATAGTGAAACATGGACATTTGAAAGAGGCAAAGGAAAGTTTTGGCCCCAGGCTCAGAGACATCCCTAAAGCAGAGGGACTGCTGCTCTTTCCAGAATCCTGTACGGAAGAGAAATGACAGGGATGAAACTAAGTTCCCATGCTAACCATGAGGTTGTCTTCTCTAGAGCTGGTACAGAAATGTGCAAACAGATACCATAAGTTTTAGTTTAATATTTGTGGGGAAAAAAACCTAATTGTGATTTTTTGTTTTTTAGTATCTTAGTTTTCTTCTATAAATTGGCAAAAGGCAGAATTGAGACCAGGTGGGGGAGTGGCTCTACCGTTCTGAAGTTTAAAAGGCTCTGACTGGTTCCTTCTCTCCTCTGCACGTTTAACCCTGTTTTCCAGCTAATAAATACATGGGCACCTCCTTGGAACCAGGCCCAACACAGGGCGCCCAAGTTCCCTACATGGTGGGTCTCTTAGCAGGAAGCAGCCTGAGGTATCTTGTATCCCCAGCACTGGGCGGAGTGGCAGATGCTCGGCTGAAGGGACCACGAGTCTCAGCCTGGGGGAGCTGTCACCCTGCTGCAGGCAGCCTCTGAGACAGATGTCAACCTCTGATGCGATGTGCACATGAGGGGCACACGCAGGCTTCTGTGGGCATCAGTCTAGGTCTTTTTTTTTTTTTTTCTTAAACACTTTATGGAAAAAAAGGCAAAAGAAAATCTCATAACAAAATAATAGGACAATAAGAATAGCAAGTAAATTTCATGTTTTTATCTTTTAAGGAGTTGCTCAGAGTATTTTATGGGCATAAAATTTCTCTAATTGATATTTTTTTCCATAATTTTATTGAGAAATAAATAGCAATGAGACAATTTCATATCAAATTGGTAGGACAGTTCCAATAATTAACACATTGCATACTGTCTTCCTAGTGATTAATTGTTGTACAAGATGCAGACATGATACCCTAGTTACAAATCCCAGTCTAGGTCTTGCTTGGGGTCCACTTGTTAAGGTTGATGGGATTTGGGGGAGACCTGTCCTGGCAGGGGCCCAGACTGACCAAAAGCAGGGAGCTGGGCCAGCTGGGCAGCAGGTGTCCTCAGAGCCAGTGGCGGGAGAAAGGGGGCAGGAGAAGGGTACCTCAGAGGTGGTATTGGCTTCTCTTGCCGCCCAGGGCTGCTGGGGAAGCATGTGTGTGTTGCAGCTTTACTATACTATATAAGAAAATCAAAGAAATCCCGGTTCCCCATTCCTTCAGGGGTAAATTCTGAGCAGACAAGTTTGTCCGCGGCAAGTTGGTGCCACTCTCAGCCCTGTGGCATTCCTGCTGTGGAACCTGGGAGAGACATTGGGAAAAGCCAGTCCTGAGCTGGTGACTGAGTCCCTGTGGTCCTATGAGGCCCCAGCATCAACCCAAGAGCGAGAGGGTGGCGGCCCTTGAGGCCTTGCTGGGTGTTTGCTGGCTCTGCCTGTGGCAGGGAGAACTTGGCAGTGCCATGGGGGTGGGCATAGTGGGGGCGGGAACTCCTCCCAGGATGGCCTTCTGAAGTCCTCCAGAGAGGTGAGAGCTGGCACTGGGGTGTAGTGGCCTCCGGCTGACCGGGAGAGGCTGGCACCACCACTCCCAGCTGTACAAGGAATTTCTGCAGGGAATGGGCTGGAGAGATTGGCTTCATGGCGTGGTTAGTGCTGACATTTTATGACTTAATAGTTCTAAGACACCAACTAAATTGTTCCAGGATCTCATGATGTATGCTTCTTGCCATGGGGTGATTCCAAAACTCTGGTTTGTGGCATTTGCAGCCTGCGATTTGGAGTTCTGAGGTGCTCAGCTCTGTTCTCTGAGAAAAGCCAGGTCACGCTTGGTAACCACTCAGCCTAAACTTGTAGCCCTGACCTGGAAAAGGAGGCTCCTTCTGTGCCAAGAAAACAGAAAGCCCGGGGCAGGCTCCTGAGTCTGCCTCCTGTCCTGCGCATGGCTCCAAATGTGGCCCAGAATGCAGGTCTTTCTCCAGGGCCTCACCTGAGGGAGAGGCTCGTCCGGTCCTCAGCCTGGTGCTGGGTGGTCCTGACCTCCATCACCTCACTTTTCTTGTCTGTGATGTGGGGATCTCGGTAGTCAACTGGGGACCTGGTATGACACTTCAGGGAGGTGACTGGGTGAAGCTCTGTGTAAACTGTAAAGCACTGTGCATGCAGTTGTGGTTGTAGCTCTGAGAGGAAAAAGTAGCCTGCTCTTTGGTGAACCCCTGTGCTCCAAGCGGCAGGCCTCCCCACAAGCTGGAGATCCAGGTCCTGAGGGGCTTGACAGATGGTGCTGTGAAGGCTGCATTTTCAGGGGGGAAGCTGGCCTTCCTGCTGAGAGGAGCAGGAGCTCCTCCTAGGAGAGGGTGGTCCCAGCCTGCTGGGAAGAGCTGGCCTGCCATGACCTCCCTCCCTTCTCCCCAAGGTAGCAGCAACCAGAGCCTCTTGGAATAGAAGTGTCAGTTAAGTAGGAGACTGGGGCATAGCTGTACAGAGTCATTCAGAATGACTCTAATTATGGTGTGGGTGATTCTTCCAATGCTCTGGCTTCCAGCCTGCCCATTGAGTAACTTTTCCCCAAACAATGAGCAACGGTGACAGGGTGGTTCCACCTTTCTTCTTCACCACTAAAGCCTATATCCTGTGTAGTCCCCACTCAGCTGCCTCAGGGACTTCTTTTATGTCCTGGGTCTGGCTGTCTTCTCTGATGCTTTCTTTAGGATGGAAGGCTTTCTCTGAGGCCCAGAGAGGTGGAGCAACTTAGCTAAGGTCACAAAGCAGAAGAGTGATAGTGTAGATCTCTAGAGTTCACCATTAATGAAGGCATGCAGTGAGAAAATCTGAAATCTGTGGGTGCTTCTGAAAAGCTGACCCCAAGTGGCTGGAGAGCAGCAGTGTGGGCAGCTCCACATTTTCCTGGGTGGGCTTTTTATAAGCCGTGGGAAGTAGGAAACCCTAGAATCAGCATTATCCTCACCTCCCGTCCTAGGCCTAGGGCCACAAATTTGTTTTAGAGATTTGAGTTTGTTTTCTTTTGGGAAATGGCCCAGTTGGTGAGCTGCTTGGGAGATGCCCTGCTGCCCTGGGGGCGGGATGCCTGTTGGCAGCAAGTCCCACCATGGCCACCGGCCACCGCATGCAGCTCAAATGGTGTTCTCTTGCCACAGCTTGGAGGCCACTTCTGCCCCCGGAGAAGCTGTCCTGCTGGTCTCTTAGGCCTGTTCTGTGCAGTCCCCTTACCTGGAATGTGCTTCCCTCTCCCCTTTGTGCACCAGATCCACCCTTATTTCTGAATTCTGCTTGGCCTGCACCCTGTTCAGAAAGCCTCCACAGTTTAGTGCTATGGCCCGAGGAAGCTGGAGCAGCTCTGGGACCCAGCAGAGACCTGACCCATGAGAAAGGCTTCCTGGAAAAGGCTTTCTCGAGCTGAGATGAGGAGGGCTTGCCAGAGGACAGAGGACAGACACAGGGACCCTAGGGCTCCAGGCCTTCTTGCCACACTGAGTGGGACCAAAGGTCAGCTACAGCGGAGAGCTAGTTATATTCCAAGACCATGTCCCCAGCCCAGAGGGAAGTCATTGTGGCTTTGTGCCTTTCATATCTGAGGTTTAGTCTAAGTGAAGTGTGGGACACTGCTTTTGTGAGTTATCTGGGCCATAACATAACCCTGCCTTGGTCACTACTAAAGATGGCAGGGACCTAAGGTAGCCAGGCCTCTCACTATGTTGCAGGCATTCCTACAGCTTTCATCTGGGCTTTGAAATAGGTACCCAGATGGTGGTGTCCAGCCAGGATTCCCAGTGACTTGGCCCTGGGAATGCAGGCCTCCTCCGGGAGAGCAGGAGGGACTGTGGTATGTGTGCTCTGGACCTTCTGGCACAGCCTCATCCCCACTTTGCACTTAGGGAAGAGGAGCAAGCAGGTGGCTAAAGGCCTTAGAAGCCGAGTACTGGAAAGGCCCCTGTGGAGGTCATCTGAGGTGTTCAAGCCCTCCCATGATACCAAGGCTGTGTACAGGTCACCCCACCCACCATGGCTGAGTTCAGCCTAGCTGGAGTTGAGGCTCCAATGAGGGCAGCCAAAACCGAGGAGAAGGGAGTGTTTCCTTCACACTTCTCTTGTCCAGGCACTGGCTGGCAGGCTGCTGGAGGACGTCAGGCTTCGGCTCCCCGAGCCCTGACACCTCAGAGGTTTTCCTCTTCCTCCCAGATCCTGGAAATGTTTGCTCCCTGCCTGCAAGCCCTCTGCCAACCAAAACAGCAAGCTCCCAAAGCTTTCTCCCTTAGAGAGCGAGAGGTTCACAGTTCCATAGATGTTGTAGTCAGCAAAGAGGTGGAAGGGTTGGGGTGTGGGCA